TCCCACAGCTGAAAGGGCGAGCATGTTCGGTGTGACGGGGATTCGAACCCGCGACCCGCAGATTGCGAGTCGAGCGCCCTAACCACCTGGCCATGCCGGGCCGAGAAAGAAAGACAGGAGAGGATGGGGATGGGGAATTCAGTCTCTGCCGTTTCTTTTCGAGAAAGTGTAGGTTGTGATCTATCAGGCTGGGTTCCCCAGCCAACCAGCCTCGCGTCTGTGGCCATAAAGAAGGTAATTTTGGACCAGTAATACTACTGAATGTTAGTTCAATGTTTAGTGAGGAACCAACTGAACTGAATAGTTAATTCATAAATACAATAACAGAAACTTTTACAGTATAGACAAATTTTGATTTTAATAATTACAGTGTTTTCGACCCATAGTATCGAGTCATCATCAAAACCAGAACTCGTCTGCCGTAAAAGTTGGTGTTATTATATTTTTTACCGTTAGCTTGTTTCAGAAATCTACACAACGGGCTTGTAACTTTACTGTAACTAAACTTAGAATTTAGTGTAAATATTTTGTAAAACTTACTTTGTTGAAAGCCTCGGCAGCAAATCCTGATTTACGAGCTCTGTTTTCCGCCATTTCAAAAACAAATCTTTATTGAAGTATAGTTAGTTGTAGAGGTCTATGTAGAAAACGTTGGGGTTCCGATCAACGAGTGACGTGCTATGAAACCAATAAATAAAGTACACGACGATATAATTATCAGTGATGACGTCATGAGCTGAGTCTTACTGCTCTTAAACCTTGAATTAAGATAATTCCTAATTCAGAGATCAAGACCTGTAAAACTTCTTGAGGCCCTCTTAGTAATGTTTAAATATTTTCTGAAGCAAACTATCAAACGAAAGGGAGATGTTGGGTGTAAAAACTTACAAGCTGTTTCTTAATTAGGATATTAAAATATGTATTTTTTGTATAGTATTTCAAAAATATTTATATTTTACGTTGTCTACTATACCATCCGTCAAGTTCAAAACAATACATTTTCTAAAGAAGTCGAAATCGTAACAAAGCAGGCTTCCAAACTAACATTGTGCTTACCAGCTAAACGTTTTTTTTTTTGGAATGTTTTTCAGAATTTTTGCGCATAACTGAATAAGGCCTAATGAACAGTACCCACCGCCGATGTTTGAACGAATAATGACATTCCACCTTATAGAGCGCTTTGTGGCCATAGGAAACGAACCACGAATCTTCGATTTCACAGCTGTGGTCCACGTCTGGCCCACCAACCAGATATTTTAATCACTTTTACTTCACTTGTTAGTAGAGAAAGAATAACATTACTTTTGGGTTAAACCTATTGGTTTATAAAATCCGTATTCAATTTACTGCCATTTTTGTTGAAACTTCCAAATTTAATTTATAATCGTAGAAAAAATATATATAAAAGTGAAAACCGAGCCCTGCTATTCTGTATTAATTAGGACCGGCATGGCCAAGTGGTTAGGGCGCTTGACTCGTAATCGTAGTCATCACCACTCACCGCCAACTCTTGGGCTACTCTTTTACCAACGAATAATGGGATTGATTGTCACATTATAACGCTCTCACGGCTGAAAGGGCGAGCATGTTTGGTGGGACGGGAATTCGAACCTGCGACCTGCAAATTGCGAGTCGAACGTCCTAACAACCTGACCATGCCGGGCCCAACAACCTTGCCATGCCAGGCCCAACAGCCTGACCCTGCCGGCCCCTAGATCGTGAGTGGTTTGCATTGGTTGTGCATAATTTTTCGTCAATTTTGGAGGCAATTTCGTTGATGTGATGCGTTTATCAGTTATTACTCTGTTATTTTTGGATGTGTTCCTAATTATTATTAATTCATAAATTAACTACTTGACTACAGAATAAAATTAAGTTGAATAATTAGTCTAAGACCACCATTTTATTTAATAACCCTTAATTACAGATAAATATAGCTAGACTGTATCAGAATTAAAAGCAGAATTTTATAGGCCAGAAATTCGCGTTTCTATTTTAAGCGAAAAATGACATCAAAGCTTTAATTTAAAATTAATGATGCTTTAAATGATTAAACTCTTAATTATAGTTCTTAAAAAGTCATTAATTACGCGAAGTTTCAAAATAAACTCTTATAAGTTAAACTAAGCAAAATAAAAACTAAAGAAATACAATGGTTTTGGCGCCATCTAGTGATTTTACTTAACAAATCTAATGATTATTTCGAAATTTTAAGCTGCACTCTTGAATATGTTATAAAAATATTAACTGTGAGAAGTTTTAAGATTGATTCTTATATTTTAAACTTAGCAAAAGAAAACTAAGTAAACACCGTGGATTTTGTGCAAAAAAATGAATTCTACATAACAAATTTAATGATTGTTTCAAAAATTTAAGCTGCGTTCTTGAATATGTTTTTAAAATTTTTTTAACTGTGGGAGATTTAAAATTGAATCATATTGTCTAAACGTAAGAAACAAAAATTTATTAAAACTTATTTTGAAATATTAGTTTGGTCTTTAATTTAATGTTTACTTTTTGCGTTGTTATACTGCGTATTTATCTAGAGATAAAAGTTTGAAGTGTAATTAATTAACGACGATCTCATTACACCAAAATTATCCATTAATACAGCTGGAAAGCGTATATTTTTTAAATATACTAAGTTCTGATATATGCCAATAGAGGGGGCGCACAACATTTTCACCAGTGAAGTTTACTCATCTAACATATTGGCCTGTATCACGTTGAGTTTATCATAACTCTAAAAGCAGTGGAAAACAAGATCCTTGTCTGCCTATTCAACGTGTACCTCTAAGTATTTGTCTGCCTATCCAATGGATATCTCTAGATATTTGTCTACATATCCGATTGATATTTATCTGTTTTTCCAATGGTTATCCAATTGATATTTATAGATGCAGTAATACCTAAAAATATCCATTGGAAAGGCAGATAAATACCTAAAAATATCCATTGGAAAGACAGACAAGTACATAAAAATATATTGAATAGACAGTTTATTATCTGTAAATATCAATTGGATAACCATTGGAAAGACAGACAAATACCTAGAAATATCCATTTGAAAGACAGACAAATACATAAAAATACATTGGATAGACAGTTTATTAGTGTCTCAATTTGTAGACGGCTTGTATAATTATAAGGTGAAATATCTAGTATTCCTATAACACTAAGGCTACTAATAAGTAGCAATGAGCCAAACGTTAACGCCCTGAGACTTGGAGACAAGAAGGTAAGTAGATACTGGGATTTGGAGACAAGAAGGTAAGTAGAGACTGGGATATAAAGACAAGAAGGTAAGTAGAGACTGGGATATAAAGACAAGAAGGTACGTAGAGACTGGGATATGAAGACAAGAAGGTAAGTTGAGACTGGGGTATAAAGACAAGAAGGTAAGTAG